ACATGTGTGTGTGTGTGTGTGTGTGTGTGTGTGTGTGTGGAGGGGGTTGGCCTAGCGACAAGCTCAGGTGTGTTTGCACGGCTCCATAACAGAGAGAGTGAGATTTGAGCGGGGAAGACAGATAGACTAAGAATCTCGCTGAATGAAATCAACACTCCTCTGTAAGTAGCAGCAAGAAAAATAGCTTAAATCGAACAGATGAAAAGGCCTGAAGGAGATGGAGTTCTCCGGCAAACTCTAAGGATTTCCAGGAAGTTGGCAGATCTCTGCCTGTCTGGACTCGCTGAGTTGAAGGTAGTCTTTTTCCTTGAGTTGTTTTTCAATTTAAGGCACACACAACACTGAATGATTTCAAGCAAATGAACTGCAACTGAGGTAATTTATTAATGTTTTGCTTTGCTTAGGGTTATGGCTTTTTTCAAGACTTCTCAAGATTATTATGAAGTATCTTGTGTGCTTTATAACAATTTAGCATTTCCTGCTCAGACAGAATAGCAGCTTTTTAATTAAATTTTTTGAAATTTGTGTTCAAATTTGAACACTGATCTTAGTAAGTGATCGATGTGTATCATTCCGCTGGAAAGCATGTGGACGTTTCAGACAGTTACTCATAACCATGTCACCGGGTTTGTTTTTGGCCTGTTGTCTCATGCATTTTTAGTGTTGGAAAAGCTCTGTGAAATGAGTTGAGTAAATCAAAAGCATTCTAATGCATACGTCAGTTTAAAAGCTGGAAATTGAAACAGAAAGTTGAATGAGGCGATTTCTGTCATGCGTAAAGTTTTTGTTGGAGATAACATGTAAATGTGATGCCTTATCACTGAGTTTAGGCTTTAAATGTCAAACTCAACATAACTGCCATTGCAATCTTACCTTGCTTTAAATGCAGCCATTGTTAGGATAGAAAGTGGAGCTTTAGCCATAGCTAATAGCAAAGTTTAATAATTGAGCTGATATTTAGCCGTTTTGAGATGCCGTTTAATGTTTAATGTCAAGTTTAATGTTCCCAATCAAAGTGCATCCTGACCAGCTCAACCAATAGCGTGAGTTTGGGGCGGGACTATGTGTTTGTCCAACCAATGGCAACATGGGGAGTGTTCTGGAAACCTGTTGGAAAACGGTCGCTTTTTTTACACTTGTAATTTATGTAATTGTTTAATCCCAATTATTAATGTTTGCATATATGCATCTTCAGTCTAAACAGTGTTTACATTGGAAATATATGATGCACTTACATTTTTTTTGTCTGTGTTCTTTTAGGGGGAGCCGTCCCCGATGAAGACCACATGGTACTGTCCACTGGACCTGGTAAGACTGGACCTTTTCTGCCAACAGAAATGCTTCTTTCAAACAGTCTGTGTCAGCTGCAGCATAAAATGATTTTCTTATTGTGTTTTGTGGCATAGTAGCTGAAAACTGAAAATCCAATGATGTTCAGAATGCCCACATACCTTCTGATGCAGTATTGCACACAAACTGGCAAACACTATCTGAAAACCAGGTGTTCCAATCTGATTGGCTGGCATTTATGTAATGCAATCCAGCAGCCAAGGTGCGCTAGTCCTCCTGGAAACAAAGTCATGTTCAATTAGGGTGCCCATTTGATAGAATGAGTGCTTTTTAAGGCAGGACTAATCAGAGATTTGAAAGATTGCTGTTTGAAAGGTTACTGGCATCAGATTTTGAGATTGAAAATAAATATTGAGAAAAATATCTGGTTTTCATTTTTTGTTTTGTTTCACTATTTTGAATTTTGGGGTCAGTAATATTTTTGTTAAAGGTCCACTGAAGTGCCCTGAAACATGCAGCGTTATTCTGTGTGTTGGCGTAATTTCAACTGAATCAGGAAGTCAGGGCGGGACATATCAAGCAGCACCACCCCCTTTTTTAAATAGCCAATAGCGTTTTGTTTATGTCACCGTTGAGCTCAGTAAAGCTGCATTTGACAGTGTATGACAGCCACAGTCTAATAGATTTCCCCTTTAGATTCAATATGAAACTGTTACTGAAGCAAAACAGTGGTTATAATGATTATAATGATTCTAGAGAGCATTTGATTGGTGATGAGAAGCTGAAGTGCAAGGCGATGTCATCAAAATTGCTGACCCATATTGGCAGAATTTAGAGACTGTACGTTTTGAATGCATATGTCTTGTAAATGCAAATTTTGTCATTGTTATGGAGCACACTAGGTTATAGATAACTTTAAGGCTAACATATTCATACTAAAAGCCAAACAACTTTAAAGTAAATGAATATTTTTATTCAGCAAGAATGCATTTAACTGATCAAAAGTGACAGTAAGCATTTACGTTGTTACAACAAAAACTATTTTAAATAATTGCTGCTCTTTTGAACTTTCTATTAATCCTAAAAAATTTATCATGTTTTCAACAAATTATCAATCAAATTTTTTTTTCAAAATATATATATATAATCAAATAGAAAACAGTTGTTTTAAATTGTAATAATATTTCACAATATTACTGTTTTTACTGTATTTTTATCAAATAAATGCAGCCTTGGTGAGCATATAAGAGATTTCTATCAAAAACATTATAAAAATCTTACTGATCTCAAACTTTTGAACGGTAGTATACATTATGTCTGTGCAATAATGATTATTTATTACTTTTGGGTGGACTACAAATGAAAGTCTACACATTTATCGAAATGTGTTTTTCCACACAAGTCTTAATTTATTGCATGTAAAATTATATAAAAAGGCAAGTAAAAACTAAAACTGTGATTGGTCACTTCTCATGTTAGTGAAGTGGGTGGGTCTTGGGCAAATAAACTGAAGCAGAGCAGACATTATGCATTTAATAAAAAGTTTGGTTATATAAGACAGGGAACAACCAATGAGGTTTAATTATTGTGACCAAGAGCAAGGCCCCTAACCTAGTGAGCTTGTAATAAGTATACTGGAAGGCTGTTTGAAAAAAAATCCACAAACTGCTTACTTACTCTGATCTCTCTCTGCTTCAGTCCACTGTGTCCGAAATGGAGGAAGACGGTATCATCTACACTGTGGTGGTAAAACAAGGACACATTTCCCCCGCCGGCCCGCAGGTGAGCCCCATCTTCCCAAGTCACAGTCAATGCTGTACGTTCCAGAAGTTCTGTCCTGACATCTTCGACCGTCTCTTCCCAGTCCACAGCATCCCGCTCTCAGCACGTCAAAGCAGGGACAGAGGAAAAGCTGGTCCTCCATCTCTTTCATTCCTTCTCCATGGGCGACTCCTCCTTCATCTCCATCTTCCTCTCCACCTATCGCTCGTTCACCTCCACCCAGAGAGTGCTGGACATCCTGATTGACAGGTACAGTGCGTGTAAAGTAATAAAGTCATTGTCTTTCAGATATCAAATACTGATGACACATTTGCAGTGATTTTGTTGGCGATATCAAATTCAGCAACATACAAGCATAAAATTAAGATTAGTTGCATGGTCCTTTCTTGTTTTGTGACTTCTTGCGAGACTTCTTTTGTAAATACAATACTAAAAACATCTCTAATATAAAATTCAGTATAACTAGAGTTCGTAAATTTGATTGATTTCTGTAAACCAGTTTATTTCTCTGTTTCAGCTAATTGCATAAAACAAATCTATCTATCTATCTATCTATCTGTCTGTCCGTCCGTCCGTCCGTCCGTCCGTCCGTCCGTCCATCTATCTATCTATACACCCATACATATACATATGCTTATAATTCATATATATTTGCAATAATATAAAATTTTTACTAATAAAATTTGTTAATTATTTGCAATACTAACTGACATTACAGTAAAATGAACCCCCAATTTCAATATGAACTATTTTCTAGGTTGGGAAATCCTCCTGGGGAGAGCAATAGTAACACTCGTCAGATGTTCAATAAGTATGTACTACTATAGATAAACCTTATCTATACACCCATACATGTACATATGCTTATAATTCATATATATTTGCAATAATATAACATTTTTACTAATAAAATTTGTTAATTATTTGCAATACTAACTGACATTACAGTAAAATGAACCCCCAATTTCAATATGAACTATTTTCTAGGTTGGGAAATCCTCCTGGGGAGAGCAATAGTAACACTCGTCAGATGTTCAATAAGTATGTACTACTATAGATAAACAACAAGCTATAAACAGAAGTTATTAATAGCCGGTTATGTCTTTTAAACTGCATTGTGGAGTGTTTATTCACACTTGCTGTGTTCAGGGCGGTGTGTACGGTGTTCAGCACATGGACACCCATACATATACATATGCTTATAATTCATATATATTTGCAATAATATAAAATTTTTACTAATAAAATTTGTTAATTATTTGCAATACTAACTGACATTACAGTAAAATGAACCCCCAATTTCAATATGAACTATTTTCTAGGTTGGGAAATCCTCCTGGGGAGAGCAAGCAAGTTGTATCTCGGCCAAATATTGTCCTATCCTAACAAATCCATACATCAATGGAGAGCTTATTTATTCAGCTTCCAGATGATGTATACATCTCAATTTAAAAAAATCGACACTTATGACTGGTTTTGTGGTCCAGGGTCACAAATATTATTGCAATTTAAAATAACAGCTCTCTGTTTTAATGTATTTTAAAATGTAATTTATTCCTGTGATGCAAAGCTGAATTTTCAGCATCATTACATCAGTGATCCTTCAGAAATCATTCTAATATGCTGATTTGCTGCTTGAGAAACATGTTGAAAACAGTTGTGCTGCATAATATTTTTGTGATAACAGTGATATATTATTTTCAGGATGCTTTGAGGAACAGAAGGTTCAAATAAACAGCATTTATTTGAAATAGAAATCTTTTGTAACAATGTAAATTTTGATCAATTTAATGAATCTTTGCTGAATAAGTATTATTTTCTTTTTAAAAAATCCTACTGACCCCACTTTTTTTTTCTTTATAAACACATTTTCCTCATAGCAAGCATTAATAGTAAATTCTGGTTCCAGGTTAGATAGACATAGCAGCACTTATTGTCCATTTTTCCATATTGATGTATTGATTTCCTACAGATCCTACCAAAGGTGTGACATCTCCTGATCCCTCGGAGTTTGATGCCACCAGCATCCTGGGGTTTCCATCCAGTGTGATCGCAGAGCAGCTGACCAGGATCGAGACAGTGAGTTTGATCATGCTGCCTTTACATCTGCGGAAAACACCAGAGATTAGTTTGAAACTAAAAGTAAAATGAGTTACAGTTTACCTCACTCTCTAAAGTCTGTGAACATCTCGGACCTGTTGGTAGCATCCTTAAATGAAATGCTTTTGTTTTGCCTTAAGGATCTGTTTCTGAAGCTGGTGCCCTATCACTGTCTGGGGTCTCTGTGGTCTCAGAGAGATAAGAAGGGCCGGGAAGGAGCGTGCTGGTCGGTCAGAGCTACTATCAAGCAGTTTAATTGCTTAGCAAACGCTGTCACAGCCTCGTGCTTGTGGAACACGGCTCTGAAGAGCCAACAGAGGGCCAGACTGCTGGAGAAATGGATCAGCGTCGCAGAGGTCAGAGCGGTTTCACTGTAAACGATGCCATCCATCAGGGTGAAGGACTCAAGTGAGCGTGTGGTTTGTTTCCCAAACAGGCCTGCAGAAGCAGGAAGAACTTCTCCTCACTGTACGCCATTCTGTCAGCGCTGCAGAGCAACCCCATCCACAGACTGAGAAAGACCTGGCAGGAAACAGACAGGTCTGGATTTACTTCGAAAACTGCTCGTCGATGCGTTAAAGGAATATCAAGTCAATATTAATTTGTGGTGCAGTACAACTTGCCCTACAGAATTTCCTCCAATATGACAAAAAAATATTTTCATATGTTTTGAATATATTTTTAAAAATGGGTTAAAATATATTGCTAATATATATTTAATGTAATATAAATGAACATTGACATATTAGTAAATATACATCTTTAAATTATTTCATTTATTATTTTTCTTATATTTATAAATTAGTATATTAATCATAGATACAGATATACTTTTAAAATATATATATATATAAAAAAATAAGAGTAATATAGTTTGAATATCAGACTAAATTTGTCTTAAATAAATTTATACAGAAAAAAATATATACACACACACACACATATATTTAGATACATTTAATTTATATCATTTAATTTATTCTGTTTCTTATATTTACTTTAATATATTTTTAATCTAAATATATTGATATTGTCCAAAATATAATAAATATATTTTGTGTTTACTAAAATATGCATTTTTGAATTAAATGAATTTTCTTGCCCCTTTTGAACACTACATTAAAAAAAACTAATTCTAGCATTTGAAGATTTAAACATAATAGATTTTCAATTTTAATATATTTGAAATATAATTTGGTGAGAATTTTTTTTTTCTGTATAAGATTGTAAAAGGATTACAATCCTAATAATATTATAAACTTGTATTAATTAATTTTTTGCTTGTTTTTCTGGAATATTCCTCACATTTATATTGCCAATTTGCATTGCAATGCAAAAAATGATGCATAATATATGAAACGGTAACGTCATTTTTAACAACAGCAGTGCAGAATAACCTAAAGTCCTTTCCTCTGCTCCGACAGAGAAGCTGTGAGGAGATACGAGGAACTTTCTGACATCTTCTCAGAGAAAGACAACTACTCCCAGAGCCGTGAGCTACTCAAAGAGGTCAGTCTCACTACGATACAAAGCAGCCAGTTCACACGGGCCTTCTCTAATGTTAGTAGAGAGCATGGCAATGCATTGATGGGAAAATATCAGGCCAATCGATGTTCTCTCAGCACGGCCTAAAGGGAGGAACGAATGACATGGCCAGAATGAGTAATATCAGATTCAGTCATGCAAAAACACAGCCTCACACTGTAAACTTGTTGTGTAATTCATTATCTATTGCTGTTCTTTAAGGAACAGTTCACCCAAAAATGAAAAATCTGTCATTATTTACTCATCCTCGTGTCATTATGCTGTTATTTTTTCTGTGGAACACAAAAAGAGTAATTACGCTTTAATGATCATGGTGACCACTATTGTGAAGATCCAAAAAGGACAAAAAAACAACAACAACCATAAAGTCTGAAATCACATTCAGATTCCACATGACAGATTTAAATGCATCATGCAGAAACATTTAGCAAACACAGGAACTGAGCTATTTTCATTTGAATCGATTTAAGTTTTCTGTAATAAAAGCACTTTAATTTTACAGGAGGGGACTTCCAAATTTTCAAACCTTGACACTAAAATCAACAACAGGAGATTTACAGGGGTAAGCATCCTTATACAAATATACACTAAATATATTATAACATATTAGATTTGATTATTAATATAGAAATATAAATATTATTATAAATAATGATAATATATACTACTGTTTAAAAGTTTGGGATCAGTACGATTTGAAATGTTTTTAAAGAAATCTATTATGCTCATCAAGGCTGCTTTTATTTGAATAAAAATACAGTAAAACAGTCATATTGTGGAAATATTACAATTTCAAATTTACTATCACTTTTTTTCATCAATTTAACATATACTTGCTGAATAAAAGTATATATTTTTAATTTTTTTTTCAAAAAAAAAAAGAAAAGAAAAAAAAACTAACCCTAAACTTTTGAACAGTAGTGTATAGTATGTTGTTACAAAAGATTTCTATTTTGAATAAATGCTGTTCCTTTTTAAAGGGGTCATATGATGCTGCTAAAAAGAACATTATTTTGTGTATTTGGTGTAATGAAATGTGTTTATGCGGTTTAAAGTAAAAAAAAACACATTATTTTCCACATACTGTACATTATTGTTTCTCCTCTATGCCCCGGTGTATATCAAAAAATATGCATATACAGCGGTATATAAGTACTGAACACATCACCATTTTTCTCAGTAAATATATTTCTAAAGGTACTGATGACATGAAATTTCCACCAGATGCCGGTAACAACCCAAATAATCCATACATACAAAGAAAACAAAACAAATAAGTTCAGAAATCAAGTTCTGTGTAATAAAGTAGAATGACCCCGGGAAAAAGTATTGAACACATGAAGAAAGGGAGCTGCAAAAAGGCATGGAAAGCCAAGACATCAGCAGAAATCTCTCAGTAATTAGAAAGCAATCCTGTCCTGAGAAAATGGTGACGTGTTCAATACTTATTTTACCCGCTGTGTTTATGATGTGATGCAGTGTTTATAATCTTTGATGTATCTGAAAGCTGTATTTCTTTTGTAGTCGTGCGCTCAGGGCACTGTGCCGTACCTGGGCATCTTCCTCCGAGATCTCACCATGCTGGACACTGCAGTCAAAGACCGATTAGAGGTGATGTTCAGTTCACAGCCCGCAATGAAACAAAAAAAGGGGGCAAAAGACAGTATCAGCACATCCAGCTGTGAAGTATAAAAATAGCAGTGGTTTCACAATGTTTGTCAAAGCTCATCTGACAGAATCAAGATGTGTCAGAACAAAACTCTTAAGTCAGCGTTGCATTGGCAGGGTGTAATGTAAACCAAAATGTAATGTCTCTTACAGAATGGCTTCATCAACTTCGATAAAAGACGACGGGTGAGTTTATGGTGATTATATACTTGATTGTCATTCTTTTAAGTTGTTTACAAATATATTAACATCACGTCCTCTTGATTTCAGGAGTTTGAAGTCATTGCTCAAATTCGCCTCCTTCAGTCCTCGTGTAGAAACAGCATTTTCAGAACGGATGAGACGTTTGTTCAGTGGTATCACAGCGTACCTACTCTGCGCGAAGAGGAAAGGTCAGTGACATTTCTGTAACTCATCTCAGATACACACTGATTAACTATATAATAAGATGTCCATGTGCTTTTTAATAGCTACAAGCTGTCCAATCAGATTGAAGCACCGGGCGAGCCGAGTCCTGGCCGTGGCCTGAACCCTACAGTGATCATCACACAGTGTCCAGAGTAAGAACATCACTGTCCTACATCAACAACCACAAAGCATTTCTTACTGTAGAGTTCAAAATTAGATTGCAAATCAACACGAATCAAAATATAGTGCCGCACAGTTGCAACACTGTTGAAAATGATTGCTGTGATTAATTAGCACAAATTAAAATTCAACATTAGAATAAGTAATAAGGTGTTAGTAATAAACAACTTAAAGTGTTTGTGCTTGAGTTCAGTTAACTTTAGTTTACTTAAGTTGGATATTTAAATTATCTCAAGAATTTTTAAGCTTTTTTAAAAAATGCAGCAGCATTTTTTTATTGAAGAAAAGAAAATGTCGTATAAAAAGGAGATAAGTTCAAGTTAATTTTTAAATAAATAAACCGCAAATGCATCTGTTTTTAATTGTAATATAAAATAAAAATATAATATTAGACAACAAAAAAAAACAAAACACATATTTTAGTTAGTTGCCAAAGACAACATTTCTAATTTTCATTTAGTTTAAGCACTAAAATTGCTGACTAGAAATAATAATACGAATTTTAAAAAAAAAACTAAAAAACTAAAACTGAAATAAAAAATAAATGAAACCTAAAGTAATATAAAAAAAAAAAAACATAACAGTAAAATTGAACT